TATCCAAACTGGACCAACGAATTAACAATACGTGCCTCCATTGATTCTGCAATAGTGTGGAACAACACACAAATTGTAAGATTTTACAGGAGAAGTGACAAAGATCAAACCGGAGACAGGATAAGTGATCGGAATGTTCGAGAGTATTCAGCCGTCGGATACTGACTTGGGTGCTAAGGTACCAAAGGATGTGAAGTTCCAAGCGGTTTGGTATGGTCAACTTGAGTGATCCATCTTATTACATTAAACAACTTTTGTTTATTGTATTTGAGGATAATATAAGTACATCGTTTGAAGCTTTCTTCATCCATCTATCTTATATAAACAAAAAAATTGCACATGCCTTGATGATAATGTAACACATTTAGGCTTTTGATGATTCCATTAATTTGGGGCCATATTATTTTAGGTCCAGTTAGCATAGGTCCAGTAAAATATAGAAATGACCCAATCTGAAAAAGTGTTCTCAACGACAATCATATAAAAGTTGTCATGTCAAGGACAATTTGGTAATTTAGTAAGAGTTGGGTTTTCTTCTTTCGTTGAAGAATGCGACTGCGATAAAACGTCTTCTCAAGACCATATAGCCGTTAACTGTTTTTCAAACAGTAACTATGCTTAAACGGCTATTTTTTTTAATTTGTTTTTATTAACGTGTAGATTTTTTCTATATATAAATCAATGGGTTTTATTTCTTTGGCCAAAAGAAATACTAATTAGATTTTTTTGCTTCAATATGTCTCTCTGTTCTCCTCTACCCTTCTTATATGTTCTTCGATCCAACATGTTTCATAGATCAAGTACGTCTTACAAATTGATTCTTTCTCAATCGTTGCTCTTAATTCATCAAAAGATATTTGTTTCTTGTACGAGATCATGAGTACTTTGATTTCGATTACAGATTTTCCTGGAATCCTTCGATTACAAACCTTAATCCGAAAAAGATGGGTTTTTGCTTGCTCCGATTCTTTGGCTAACAAAAACACCAATTAGAATTTTGCTTCACGTCTCTCTGTTCTCTTCTATCTTTCTATGTTCTTCAATCCAACAACAAGATTCATTCATTGATCAAGTAATTGAATCTTTCACGATCGTTATGATTCCACAACTGTGCATGATTTGCTCTCAATTCATCAAAATATTTTCGTTTCTTGTAGTGGGATTTACCTTTATGAGATGAGTAATTCGATTGTCCCTGTTTCGTTTCGATTACAGGTGTTGTTGGAATTCTTCGTGAAAAAGCCTTAATCCGACAAAGGTGGAAGATTTAGAGAACGAAGTCGGTGGAAACTTGTAGCTCGACAGATGTGCAAGTCTCGTAGTTCGACAGATGTGGAGGTTTCGCTAAGTTTGTGGTAAATTGTTATGTCGAAACACTATTTTCTTTTTTTCTCTAGAAGAGAAAAAAAAACTCTTTTTTAATTCGTTTATGATGTACCAAAATTAATTAAGAAGCATGATAAAGCAATTTAAGTTGATTCGATCTCTGTATTTTTGTTTTGTAGGTGTGATATATAGCTAGCGAGGCAACAAAGTCTATCACATTCATGAAGATTTTTACCTTGAAGATTGGTACAAATTCTATTTCCCTTGACTGTAACAAACTTTCTCACTAAAATCCACATTTTTTTTTATCTTTTTCAAAGTAAAACGTTTTCAAAGTTTTGAATCTTGACAATTTTTTCACCGATTATTTTAAAATTTAGGATTTTATTTAATTAACTATTTTGGTTTTTAGAAATTTTAGTGCTAGATTTATATAATTGGGGAAACTATTCGGAGGTGTAATCTTGTCATTGACTATCGTCTTTTGATCGTTAGCGGATCCAAGTTCATTTAGTTATTAACACAACATAACGTAAATTTAGCATTCAAATTTTGATTATTTATTTAAAAAAATGATTATTTTTTATATTGTAAATAGTTTTTTTTCCACTAGATATTTTAAAATTTGGAATTTTAACTAACTATATTGGTTTTTGGAAATTTGAGTGCTAGATTTATATAATTGGAAAAACTATTCGGAGGTGGAATCTTGTCATTGACTTGTCTTTGATCGTTAGCGGTTTCAAGTTTGCTTAGTTAACACAACATAACGTAAATTTAGCATTCAAGTTTCCAACTGTTTCGTTTTTCACCAACTTTCAAATTAATTTGATAACAAAAAAATATATTTTTGGTTTAACTAAATTAGAGATGAATAATGTTTTTGACCATTTTTGTTCATCGTTGCGTTTTACCAACACAACTGAAATTTAGTATTAATTTTTTCTAATTGGTATATAGTTTAAATTGTCGAATTAGCTAAATAATATTAATTGTTGAATTATGTTGCATAAATTTTGTATAAGATCATTTAAAAAAAATTCTGGTTAATGAACTTGGCACATTAATTGATTATGTAAAGTTGCTGTATAATTTGAAACATTAAACTTTCATAAACTTACATAGAGTTGTATAGAATCTGCGAGAAACCTAATACTTGAAAAACAATTGTTTTTTGTTGAAAATGAAACGGTCATGGCCATTAGCACTAATTGAAAATAAAGAGTTTTCTCTCCATCTAGACTATCCACATATGCAAAACTATTTTTAAATGCATTTAAGTTTTAAAATGTTCATTTAATACACACTAAATTATACTATTTATTTATTTTTT